CTAATTCTTCTCCTTAGCATTGTTAATAGTTATCATTGCAGTAATCAACTCAACAAGGAAAGCATTGCCAAAGTCAATGAAGTGGATAAAACTGCCCACATGTTCTGAGTTTCCATCTTGAAAATACTAGCAGAGGCAGCTAAAGAAGGGACCCCTTTGGCCATCCCATTTGTATTACACTTACACCAACATTGAGGAGGAGGATGCCACAAGATTTCATTGAGGATTTTAGGCTTACAGGGTGAATGTTGATCTTAAAGACTTTCAAAATACAAAATCTGGCCATATAAGAATAAAACATATTGTTATTTATACTTCTTGTAAGAAAGACCTGGGCCGAAATACTAGGGATGCGTCTCTTCCAAGAATTACTCATGTCTTCAAACCTGTCATAATTTCAAGCCCTACAAATATCATTGGTGATGTTTACAATAGCTGCAAGAATGACTAAATGAGCTTGAGGCGACCAATCCATTTCCAACAATCTTTAGCAAGACTTGGTGTTGTTGATGCTTAAGTTGATGTTCTAGCTATCAGCAAACCAATTCCATAAATTACAAGCAAATTTGCATTCAAAAACAAATGATCGGTGATTTTATGTAAGGTATAGCAAATAGAGCATCTAGAGGGACTAACAAAATCTCTCTTACTAAGATTATCATCAGTTGACATCTTGTTATGACTCAACCTCCAAAGTAGAAGAGATCTAGAAGAAGAAATATGTGATGACCAAGAAAACTTAGTCCACACGACACTTGAAAAGGACTTATGAATGAAGGAATAGACTTCCTTGAGAAAATTTAAATTTTTTAATACTTTAATTAATAACTATTTTATCTAATATAATATATTTAAACATAAGAACATACTCTCATGCTTATATTTCTATTTCATTTGTGCCACATAATCCCATGATCTTACGCGACGCAATCTAAAATTCATTTTCATTATTCAAAAAGTCAAATACAATACTTATACTCTATTGGAGGTCACGGGTTCGAATCCCCCGGAAGACGGAAAAAATCTCATTTTAAATAAAATGGTATAACAAATCAACTATTACTCTAACTATGTTTATTCATCTAATAGTTCATTAAACTAAAAAAGTTATTTTAAATTTCAAAAACAAAAGAGATATGAGAATCCAAAAAAAAAAAAAAAAAAAAAAAATATATATATATATATATATATATATATATATATATATATATATATATATATATATATATATATATATATATATATATATATATATATATATATATATATATATATATATATATATATATATATATATATATATATATATATATATATATATATATATATATATATATATATATATATATATATATATATATATATATATATATATATATATATATATATATATATATATATATATATATATATATATATATATATATATATATATATATTTTTTTTTTTTTCTCTTAAAATTATATCAATAAAAATAACACTGGAAAGAAATCTATTTAATCTTAAAGTAATTTTTACACAATTTTTTTGAAAAAAGTCACTATGAGCTGATAAAAAAAATAATAGAGCATGCAACAATCTTTTATTATTTTTATATACTTTATTACTATATTTTTCATATAATACTAAATAATAAAATAAAGAAAAACAACAAGATTTTTAATTTCTCACATATGTGAATATAAAATTTTTTTAAACGTGAATTATAATTTACTATTATCTTTTACAATAGTGATCATATATAGTATAATAAAAACAACAATAATAATATTTAAAAAAGCTCGTATTTTAACTAATATCTACAATAAAGTCAAATAAGTTTTTATGTTCTAATTAATAAAAATTAAAATAATTAATTAATAAAATAATTAAACAAATATAGCAACTAACATTTTCAATTTTTATTTATCCGATAACTAAAGTTCGATCATAATTATAAATAAACTTTTAATTTTATTTAACGTCAAAAATTAATACATATCTTTAAAGACTTAACATTAAATATCTAAATCAAAGATAAATAGATGTTATTAGTTTATAAAACAATGTCAATCTTAATTTACAATAATGTATTTTTATTTTATAATAAAATATATCGTTTTAAAATGTGATTAGTTTATATCATTGTCTCAATTATAATTCATAATAAATTATTATAACATAAATTTATTAATCATATTTTATCAAAACAAATTTTTAACATATTTAAAATTTAATACAAAATGAATAAATTAATTTACAACCAGCCATCACGCAGATATTCATATAGTTATACAATAATTTATAGTCCATCTTTTTCATATAAAATAACTAGTTATACAATAATATATAGTCCATCTTTTTCATATAAAACAACTTTGAGTCTTTAATATTTACGAAATTGGCATATGATAAGGAACAAACAAAGAATGACTATTGAAGACATATGATAATAAAAACAAATGGAGAATTATTATTGAAGATAAAAATTTCACTTTAATAACTTTTATATTTACACTTATCTCACTTTAATTTATGAATTTAGCTGTCACTTTTAATATAAAAAACATACATGGAATCGGGCAAAGGTCAGATCTGAAATGTAAAAGAACAAAATAAAAAAATATTTTAGCAGTAAAACGAGGGACAAACCCAGATCACAAACAAGCTGATGTAAATAAAATATAGTATAGATTAGCTTCAATGATTAAAGGTCAATGCAGAACCATGTTAGGGTCTATTTCGTCATTTCATAATAAGTCACTGAAATCCAAAAAAACACATCCCAAAAGAAAAAGCAACCAAAGCTCATCTATATCTCCATCTCAAGAAAAAGGAAAATAGTGATAATAGTAATAATAATTTAGAAAAATAAAATAATTTTTTAAAAAGAAAATGTAAAGATGAATTTTAAAAAAGGAAAAGAAAAAAGGTGAGCTACTGCTGCCGGCCTTTAACTAAATATAGCTGGACAGACAAAAACCAACAATCATCTCCATCGTCTGTGTGCGCTTATTTTCAAAAATTTCTGCACCTATTTAATTTTTTATTGATAAATTAAATATCAATTGTAAATATAAATGAATGTATTTATGTATTTTTCTGTGCCAATTTTTTTATTATATCCAAAGATCAATGTCAGGTGAGTTCATCTAGTCAAGAAGAGATCTGATATGATAAACAAATAGGATTATCACAAAAATATATTAAGTGCCTTTGTCACAAAAAATTTACTATACATTGTTTGTAATTTTTATACATGTCTAAAAAATATATGATAGTTATTCATAAATTCTTACTCAACTACAAAAACCCACTATCAATATGTTGAAGTAGTAATTACTAAGAAATGTGGTTTATTCAATTTATTTTATAAAATTGATTTGTATATGAAGATTGCTTTTATATATATATATATATATATATATATATATATATATATATATATATATATATATATATATATATATATATATATATATATATATATATATATATATATATATATATATATATATATATATATATATATATATATATATATATATATATATATATATATATATATATATATATATATATATATATATATGCTTAAAATTAAACATTTAAAATGTGAAGATAAACTATAAACGATTTGATAGTGAAAATTTCAGGGCAGATAATCCACTAAATTTTAAATCACTTTAATATTACAAAATACAATTGAATCTAACTTATTTCTACATAATAGATTTAAAGTGTTAAAATTATTATCATTTATAAACAAATACATGTTCAAGTAATATATTAATTACCATCTTTTATTTATAAAAACAGTAATAATTATTATACGAAAGAAATTCTAAAATAATTACAACATTCACACACAAATCCTTAAGGTCTAAGAAATTGAATCCTAGACTACTAACAAAGTCTAATAAAATAATATTGAATTTCATTTTGAGAAAAAAATTAGTGATTTTACACTTCCTTAGAAAAATACATATTTTTATTTTAAAAATATTGATATTATATGACAATTATATATATTTTAATTATGTATAATGCATAACCTTTAAACCCTTTTATTTTACTGAAATAAAATTTTCAAATTATAAAATTATATTTTTTAATAATATATATAATATAAATTAAAAAATTAAAATATAAATAAATATTTAAAAATATAATATAAAAAATAACATTAATGATTTATTAATATACTAAAACAACTTATAATTAAGTATAACTTTTCTTTTCAAAATAACTTGTAATACAAACATATTAAGAAATTTTTGGATTTTATTTTAAAAATAAATTAATAAATTTTGTTTTCAATAACAAATTAATTATAATATTAATTTGTGTAATATATTTATAATGGTTTATAATTTAGAACGAAAATAATATTAAAGTACAAAAAAAAAATTAATGAAAAATTCACTTTTTATTTAAATAAAATAATAGAAAAATCCAACATATTAAATTTATTAAAATAAAGTTTATTGTCATAAAGTATAAAAGTGTTATGTATGTTTATTTATAATTTAAAGATACTTATAATAGTAGTCAAATAGTTTTAATGAACTAATAAATAAAATTGATTTACAATACAAATTTCTTTGTATTCATATGTATATAAAATAAATTAAAATAAAATAATATGATTAATTAAATAATTTTGAACTGTATTCCAACCCCTTAATATTAAAACAAAGAAAAAGAGAAGGGTGTAAAAGTAAAAAAATAAATAAAAGGACAAAAATAAAAAGGAAAAATATTCATTGTTTTTAACACAAAATCAATTATAAAAAAAACAATACTAAATTCACCTCCCATATAACACAAAGAAAGAGATAGAAAGAGAAAGCGTTTTCATTTCATTTCATACATATATATACACAAACATATACAGATAAATAAAAACTCATCAAAATTCAAAGAATTCACCACCTCTTTTATTTTTCTCTCTGTTTATATTTTTAATTTTTTCTCTTATCTCAACTGCTGTAATTGCTGTTTGAGAAAAAACAGAAACTATGCTGGGTGACCACTCACCTCTTTTGGGTGGCGGTGGAGATGCAGCAGCCACATCAACACCCAACATGACGGCGGAAGGTGGTGGTGGTGGCGGAGTTGGATCAAATTCTGAAAGTGATATTGAAAGAAGTAGAATTGATGAAGGTGAACGTAGCTTCAGCGGTAACCGGTGGCCGCGACCGGAAACTTTGGCGCTTTTAAGGATACGATCGGACATGGATACAGCGTTTAGAGATGCAAGTGTTAAAGGTCCTCTGTGGGATGAAGTTTCAAGGTAAATAAATAATCTTTTATGTCTGAATATAATTTTGTTTAACTTTATTAATTACTTGCTTAATGTCATTGAATTTTCTTCATTTAAATTTTGAGGTTCTAAAAAAATTTTATTTTTTATTTTTAAAAAATAATTTTATACTATGCAGAGATCTGAGAATTCAAGTTTGCTTCATTTCTATCATTTGTTTTTGCTTCTTTTACCAGTTTCTCAGCTTTTTGTATTTTTCTCTTTTTCTTAAAATCCTCCTTTTTTTTTTATAGCGGTTTGTTGTGTTGTGTTGTGTGTATAATTATTAATTATCAAGACTAAACTTTTTTTTTTTTTTTTTTTGAATTTAGATGTATGCTAAATCATTTGTGTGTGATTAATTTTATTTTCTGACATTCACACTAATTTTGATTCATGTTCAATTTTCCAAATAAGTTACCAACTTGAATTGAGTTATCAAAAGCAAGATTTTCTTTTCCCCCCTTTTATTTCGGTTACCAACTCTCATGGGAAATTGAAGTTTAATATTTTATCAAATTTTCCTAACTTAAGTTCATGCGTTTTTCATGGGTCACATTTCTTTTCATCAATTCATGGAAATTTGTTACATAAAACAACAAAAGAATTTCATCATATTAACTCAACTTCATGTTTTCTCCTTTCTCTCTTTCAGTTACTTCATTTTCCTTACATTTCCATGATGCAACACTATAATAAATTTTTATTTCTTTTATTTGTTTGTTACCTTATGCTAATTCCCATGCTTTTTTTAATCATGCATTTGTCTTGTAGCTGAATTTGATGAGATAAGATAAAGAGTAATAAACTTTTTTTCTTTTTTTTTATTTATAATTTTTGAATTTTAATTATTGCTTCTCACTTTATTTATTAATAATAATCAGGAAGCTAGCAGAACTTGGGTTTCAGAGAAGTGCAAAGAAATGCAAAGAGAAATTTGAAAATGTTTATAAATACCATAAGAGAACAAAAGATGGTAGAGGTGGAAAATCAGATGGTAAAACTTATAGATTTTTTGATCAATTAGAAGCCCTTGATCATTTTCATAACCACCCTTCAACTTATCAACAACAATATCAGCCCCAAAACCAATCAAAATCGCCACAAATTTCAGCACCAACACCAACACCGTCGCAAGCTGTTACAATTGCGATAACAGAATCAACAACAGTATCAATGTCATTGCCACCAGTGATTAACACACCCATTACTATCCCTCATGTAACTGTTTCATCAATTTCAATGCCTCTAAACAATATTGTAACTACCCAAACCCAAACAATGAATATGATGAACCAAACAGTTTCTTCCATTAATCCTTCAACTAGTTTTCAACCATCAACAACAAACCCTATCACCACCAATCCTCTTCCATCTTTCCCTAACATTTCTACAGATCTGTTATCCAATTCCATGGCAAGCTCCTACTCGACTTCCTCAGAAGACACAATGGAAGAAGGATCGCGAAAGAGGAAGCGGAAGTGGAAGGACTTTTTCGAGAGATTGATGAAGGAAGTGATTGAGAAGCAAGAGGATTTGCAGAAGAGATTCTTGGAAGCAATTGAGAAACGGGAGCAAGAAAAAGTGGCTAGAGAAGAAGCATGGAGAGCACAGGAGATGCTGAGAATCAATAGAGAGAGGGAAATTCTTGCACAAGAAAGATCTATAGCTGCAGCGAAAGATGCTGCAGTTATGTCTTTCTTGCAAAAAATTGCCGAACAACAAAATCTAGGAGAAACATTAAATAACATCAACATTGCTCAACCACCTCCACCACAACAACCACAAAGAAATGCAGCACCACCAGCAGCATCACCAGCTCCAACACCAACATCAGTGCCCGCACCAGCTCCAACACCAACACCAACACCAACACTAACACTAACACCAGTGCCCGCACCAGCTCCACTACCAACATCAGCACCAACTTTAGCAGTACAAGTTCATGCACCACCACCATTGCAACCACCGCCTGTGACTAAGCCGGGCCAACCAATTGTCCCACAGCAGCAATTGGTGATGAATAGAGAAATAGTAAAGTTTGATAATAACAGTGAGAATTTCATGGGACAAAGTCCTTCTCGGTGGCCGAAAGTGGAAGTTGAAGCACTGATAAATCTGAGAACAAGCATGGACAATAAGTACCAAGAGAATGGACCAAAAGGCCCTCTATGGGAGGATATATCTTCAGCAATGAGGAGCTTGGGGTACAATAGGAATGCCAAGAGGTGCAAAGAAAAATGGGAGAACATAAACAAGTACTTCAAAAAAGTGAAAGAAAGTAACAAGAAGAGACCGGAAGATTCAAAGACATGTCCTTATTTTCATCAGTTGGATGCTTTATACAGAGAGAAAAGCAAAGGAGACAATTCTGGTGGCAGCGGCAGTGGCAGTGGTTTGAACCAGGTGGTGAAAGCGGAGAACATGGCAGCTCCGTTGATGGTGAGACCGGAGCAGCAATGGCCACCTCAGCAAGAAGAGCGGAACTGTAGAGAGGAAGAAGATAATATGGATGAAGATGAGAGAGGCAGAGAAGAAGAAGACATGGATGAAAGTGGTGGCGGTGGTGGTAACTTTGAGATAGTTGCAAGCAAACCTGTGGGTGCATCAGCCTGAGTTTTAGTAGTAGTGCAGTGATGATGAGAATGAAACAGCTGCAAAAAGAGACTAAAAGAATATCAAAAATGAGTTTGTTGGTTGGTCAGAGATAATGCAGGAGTTGTCGTGGAAGATGGTGGTAGTGGTGGTTGTGGTGGTGGAGGAGAGAGTAATATCTACTGTGTGGAAGAATTTGAATATGTACGGTGGAATGACACATGGGCTTTGAGGAGGGAAATTTGATAGCTTTTGGTTGGTTGGTACTTTGTTGTTGTAGCAAATATAGGTTTTTCAATTTTATTAAATTTGTTTATTTTTTTGGGGTGAATATTAAATAACTCTAATCAAAGAGATATTTATTATAGAGTCAGGTCATGGTTTAAAATAATAAATTACAAAAATATATATTTTGTATTTTATTTATGGTTATGTTAGGTATAAGTTGAAGAATGGTGTCATTATAAAGCAATTAAATTTAAATGTGGCACTGAATTTAACAAGATTTAACATTGAAAAATGTGATGAGGTAATATTTAAGAAAATAAGGACATTGCATAGTTGAGATAGTGACCCTACTTTTATCATTGTAAGAGACCCACCCTAATGAAAGGTAGAAAAAACCAGCATCACACATGGAGTAATAAACCCTTGAACAAGGGTCCACTAGGAGGAATCTTGTGAGTAACCTCATCTCTGAAAAAAGAACTCAAAAACACTATTACCATGCAGTTCTTGTCTCTGTCACTTATAAACAAAGTGTTTGTTTTTCATTTCATGGTTAGTGTCACTCTGTCAGTACTAAGAAAGAGGTCATCAAGGTTGATGATCTTCATCATCTTGTGCAAAACCAACACAACTTTATTTGTCAGCCTTTCATCTCTCCATACGCAAGTTTATTATGGTTTTTTTAAGATTGATTGGTTTTTCCATAAAGACGTATAAATTGATTGGTTTATAAGTAATGTAAACAAAGTGATTATGTAGTGCTTTTGGTATTATATATGCACATCATATAATATGCTAGTATAATGTAGGAATTTCGTATAGAATAACACAAGTCACTATTTTTCTTTTGAAATTTGAAACTTGTAATCATATGGTGGGAATCTAATTCTCATACTTATATGAGTGTTTTAAAAATCAGACTGGATTGACCGTCAAATTGGAAACTAGATAAGTTATTGATTTGGTTTGTTAAAAAATTATTTAGAATATTTTTCCTTTTTAGAATTAAATTTATTATTCAGTTTATTTCGTAATTAATTATATACTTAATTTTATTTCATTTTATAAACTAATTTTTTCTTCTTTTAATTGTTGAGTCTTACTCTTGTTTTCGGCATGTTAATTTATTATCCCTTCTAAACTCCAAATTCATATTAAACAAAATCACATGCAAGTAACTTTTTCAATTCTAATATTATTCTTTTTTTTACCGAAAGTGAGAGATTTTTACCAAGGGTTTGGAGGTTGGTGTAATATTCGAAATTGGTAGGTGCAAGTCATGCACAAAAATCACAGTGCATAAAATTTGACTTATATATATGCCCTACAATTTTGTCTATTTTGATGAAAATGCTGTCTATTTGCGCGTTAAAGAAAGTGCCCCACAATATTGATTGGCCTGCATTTACCTCCTATGGTTTGGAATAATTATTCTGTTACAAAGCCACTGTTTGGGACATAAACGCTCCAGTTGCAGTACCTTCCTTTGCATGCATAAAAGTCTACGGACTCTATTCCTTTGTCGGAGCCAAAACTGTTGATTCCATCCTCACTTACATTCATCTTATTTTTCATTCAAATTATTATTATTTTTCGTTTATTTAGTTTAATTACAAAAACTCATACATTTAGAAGCAAAGACTACAAAATTATTACTTTAAATTTGGATCAATAAAAAAGAGAAAATCAATTTTTGATCATCATAGTTTGCAAACATTAACTCAGTCTAAGTGGCACACATCGGACACTAGATTATAAAGGTTTGAACATATTTGTTTACAATTTTTTATTTATTTCATGCTTAAGTCATTGTGAACCATTGTGAACCATCATATGTAGTGTATATCTACTATGTGAAAATTTAACATGTTACTCTCAGCGTTTAACATTGTTTAATGTATAATTCTTAGTGTTAAGCATATTTATAAAGTATAAGATTTGACTGAGTCAAAGTTATAGGAGCAATAGTTGAATATACATGTATTTGACAGAATGTCGAATACATGTTATAGGAGAAGGATGTGCACATTCGATAGAGAGTCGAATACAACTGGTCAAAGTCAGAATAGTCAATATTTGATAAAATTGAATAGCAATTTCTTGAAGGTAGTTAGTTAGTTTGAGATTGGTTGATATGTAAGCAATTTCATTATAAATAGGGAGGTACCCTACATTTGTATACGATACAGTACAATTTCATTTAATTCAATACATTATTTTCCCCTTTTTCAAAACCTTAACTCTCTCTCTCTCTCTCTCTCTCTCTCTCTCTCTCTCTCTCTCTCTCTCTCTCTCTCTCTCTCTCTCTCTCTCTCTCTCTCTCTCTCTCTCTCTCTCTCTCTCTCTCTCTCTCATTATCTCCTATTTTCAAATCTTTGTGCGGCGACATCGTCATGCAAGCAAGGTGTGGTTGAATTACTCGAGTGAAGAGTGAAGAATAAGAATCCTAAATCAATCAAAAAAGTTATTGAATATTATTCTATTAAGATCAATTCCAATAAACCTAACAACCCGTATTTTTATATTGACCAAAATGTCCTTCTCATTATTTACCCATCCAAAAATTATATTTGTTCAAAAAAATTTACTTTGGAGAAGTTGTAAAAATAAATTTTACTTTGGAGAAGTTGTAAAAGTAAATTTTACTTTGGAGAAGATGTAAAAATAAAAATAAAATCCAGTACAAATTTTTTTGAAAATGGTGAAAATTATGCAATTTTACAATATATTAAAAAAAACTGTATGAGTTTTTATCGCTTTTTTTAAAATTTAATAAATATGACATTTTTTGAAAAAATTGTTGTATTTTTACCGAACTTTTTAAGAATACGTTGCATTTATACCGCGTATTCTTAAAAAATCCATACCAAAATTTTAAAAAATCCAATACTTTATACCACATTTTTCCAAAAATTCTAGTAAACATCAAAAACTTTTAGATAATTTGAAAATTTTGCTATATCATATTTTTAGCTTAGTGCACAAAATCGGGTAGTTTAGATTGATTCATTTGTGCGGTCTACATCCTGATGATCCCTCTGCAAATTTTACGTAGTTTTTCACCACTGACGTTGTACGTTTTAACTTGCATATGATTTTCCTTGAAGGATTGGCCTCCAATGGCTCCAAGTGCTATCTAAATCACCCTTGATGCTGTAAAAATCGTACTTGCAGTGCCAATTTTTGTAACCCTTGTAAAAGTGTAGAATTTCCCATTAGAAAGAGCTCAGAGTGGATCAAACGCGTTAGAAAAAACAAAAAAAGGTCATCGCGCGCCTGATAACCTGTATTGTGCGCGCGATACAACTAATACAAATCTATCGCGCAAGCGATGTTCTGCGGGATTATTCCAGTAGTTATACGTTTTTGCTCCCTTTTTCGCCTGATTGTTCACTAAGTCAAATTTCTTTATACTTAGCTATTTTTTCATTCGTTGGTCTTTCTTCTTCATTTTAGCTCCTCTTTGACTTGTTTTTCTCCGATTCTTCGCCTAATTTCATGCAATGACAGACTGTCATCACAACCCCAAACTTGAATTGTTACTTGTCCTTAAGTAACTTACCTGCAACCGCACATTTCAACAGAAAATATGTCACAAAATAACAATTGAACACCACCATATATTTTTTTCGTTGTCTGACCATCGTTCTTGCTTCCAACTTCCATCATACAAATTTAAAAAATGTCCCCAAACCTTGACAAGTACTCAACCTGTCTCTCAGCTAACTTTGACTCACTCAATGGATAAGGTCATCTCTCAATCAACATGCAAAATAAGTAATGTTTAACTTGATCATGTTCTAATATAATTCATCACAGGAATCACAACACACACAGTTAAGGTCTTTTTAGGTTGTATCTTAGCTTATGTTTGGGTAAGATATTTTTAGAAAGTAGGTTTAAACCTTTGGAGTTAGGTGCCAAGTTCTTTTTCTATTCTCATACCCCTTTGTTCCTTCTTGACGGTACTAAAGATTTGGTCCTTATTTTTACTCTCCTTTTTTAAAATTTTTTTTCCACTTCTCATTTTCTCAAAAAAAAAAAGTTTTGAATTTCTGACCAATTTTTTCTAGTACCCCAACCCCAAACTTAGAACTTTGCTCACTTCAAGAGAAACCCCAAACTTAATCTTTTTCATATAACATAATATTATACTTCTACCTAACTCCAAATAGAGAGTGGAAAGAAAAGATCTTTCAAGTCATATTGGTAAGAATTTAGGCTACGTCACTGAAAGAAAGGCTAAGCTCAAAGTGGTTAGCAAATGGATATTCCTATTACTACAAGGTGGTTACAAAGGCTCAAAGTTATAAACTAAGAACTTCCTCAGTGTATTTCAATCAAACTATATAAACTTATTGAAAATAGATCAAACCAGATAAAATAGTAATGCATGAATACACTCAAAAAGAAAGAAAAGTGAACACTGAAATTTATTTGGCTCAAAACCTTACTAGATGAGGTATCTGAAGGTTGAGTACAATTCCTTTTATTCTTTTCTCATCCTTTTCCTTTAAGTTGTAAGTGGCTTTCTTGATGATCAAGCCCTTTTTTTTCTTTTGAATCATTTGTTTAATACTAAAGTGATAACTTGTAAATAAATAATTAAAAGAACTGCTACAAAACTTGTTTATTAAAGGCAATTAACTAAATAATACAATGGGAGGGAAAGAGAAATTATAATAACTATTGGTATTCTTTAGGTACATATTTGAAAATAAAAAATAAAGATAAAGTCTTCTAAGAATTAAAAACAAACTATGTGTCTTTTCACATGTTCTCATTGCAGAAAA